TAACATATTTTAGAATGTTCAAGGACTTATTTGTGCCAAAAAATTGTCCAAGGACTTATTTAACATGTTTTGGAAAGTTCAAGGACTTATTTGTTCCAAAAAAAAGTTCAAGGACTTATTTGTTCCAAAAAAAAGTTCAAGGACTTAATCATTCCAAACAAGAAAGTTCATTGGTTTTTATTGTACTTTTCCCCACCCAAAACTTATATCGTCAAATTTTTCATGATTATTATATTTTAATAATCAAGAAAACGTTTCATTTCCAACCCCCCACCCCACCCGTCTTCCCAATAAATACCCTTCTTCCCTTCTTTACGCTTTCCAAACCTGCAACAAGATTCGGACGAACAAAAACCCTAACCCTTCCCAAAAATGGCCTCCTCCGCTTCTCATGAATCCAACAATAACGATAGCCGAATACAATCCACAGGTGCCGACAGCCGCGCACTTGTCTTCTTACCCACGAAACCTAACAATCACTCCATTGAACTGCGCAACACTCTCTTTGACGACAGGTTTGCAATAATGATTGAGTTCTTCAAGAACTGTATCCTTCTCCCCGCCATCATTCTAGTGAACCCAGGCGTACCATTAAAGTACGTCCAACAATATTGGCAGAACTGCGAATTTGATCCCGCCTATCACGGAATAATGGGGGACATAGACGCCCCAAATGACATGATTTGTTCGCTAAAAATATCACGAGCAAAAGTTTCTAGGGTTTTGTGCATTCCCACCAGACGGGAACTCGGGATCGAGCAATATGACGAACCACCATCCTCCGACGACATCCTCAGGTTCGTAAGGATGCTAGGTTACAATCGTGAACTACGAAATGTCTCAGACTTCAAAAGACAATTCCTCCCGCCAATGTGGAATTTGAACTTCTCCATCCTCAACCGATCCCTCACCTGCAAGCTAGGTTCCCTAGACCAAGGGAATCTCAACATAATGACAATTATGTATGGGCTTTTCTAAAACTTAAATCTCGACTACGCCTTCCACATTTACAACAAGATTCATGCGGCCGTGATCAAAAAGTGCAAACTTCAAGCCGCAGGAAAGCCATTCTCTGCAGTTCTCTTTCCCCGATTCCTCGCCCTCTTCATTGGGGATGCGATGGTGCAGCACAAACTACCTGTTGTGGAGCCCTTCACCCCGATCTACAAGATGCAAGGACACCGCCCAACCCTTTCGAAGGAAGGATACAGCATCAACCGACCGCTGTCCCGGTCTATGCTCACTGTCATACCAACGACAAGTGAGATACGCCAGACCTATGAACGCTCCATGTTGTCCCAAGAACCGAGGGCAGCTACCCCGAAGCACTTAGAACCGTCCCTCCTCCAAGCGAGGGAGCACAAACGTCATCTTCATCGGATGATGAAGATGATAATGATGATGATGATGCTCGTGCTTCCCCCGGCCTTCCTCAAAATATTCCTCTCCCTACTACCCAAAGGGCATCCATATCCTCTACCCCTGGCGATCAAAGCCAAAGGGGTATTGAAAAAGGACGACCCRRTCCMACCCCAACCCCAGCCAGCCATCCAGAGGCCATTCTTCGGGCCTCTGGAGATGAACAAGCCGAGGAACCACATATACCATCACCCCTCTCTCAACAGAGAGGTGATGACGAAATAAGAGCCCCTTCGCCTCAGGGCTCGCCACATCCCCTCACACACACAGAAGCATGTGTTGCTTCTGACATTGAACCAATAGATCGTTCAGAGCGATCTTCCTTTCATGCACCTCTCCTTTCGATATTTGATCTATCGAAGGGGACACACATTCGCTTCACTTACTCGACCTCTGAAACCGAGGAAGAGGAAGTTGATGTAGCAACATCACGAGATAGCTCCTCTCTCGAGGGCTATCAAGGACATGATGGAAGTCCTTCGAGGCCTACATTCGCACAAGGCCAAGAAGACGCCTCAGGAACAGAGGCACAACCTGCAGCATCCGTTGCTGCAGGGATTACCCCTTTAGCCGATCTGGTCACAAAGGCAGAGTTCCAAGCCAACACTACCCGCCTACACATGCTTCAACAAACAGTCACCCAACACCACAATACCTCATCCTCCCTAGCCACCCAAAGAAACCAAGTCCTTATCCAATCCCTCGCAACCCTTACAGCTCAGGCAACTGAAGCTGATGAAAACCTTACATACACCATCACCCAACTACAAACCATCCTTCGCAATCTTCATCAACTACCTGCCTCCATCATCTCCCAAATTCCTCAACCTTAACCTCCATCCACTTCATCGGTCGATGAAACCCTTGCAACCCTCACCACCCAAATGGCCACCATACAAACCACCCTCACTTAACTACCCGCCACCATACTTGCCCAAATTCCACAACAAAGTCAACCCCCACCTCCCTCTGCAGGCCTATCCTTTGATGAAGCCTTCTCATCATTCACTGCAGAGGTGAGAAACCTTATCACCAACCTTCTCATCCCTCCATATATATCCACTACCTTCTCCATGCCACCATAAGCCTCATCCTCCTCCACCGAGTTTGTAACCAAAGCTGACCTACGGGCTCTGTCCAAGGCGCTAGTCTCATCTTTCAATGAGATTAGTGCCAAATTCGTTCATCGGGCCATCCATCCAATGAGGGTTCTCTCCCAGAACCTGGCCGATGAACAATGACGTACCACCTCTCTCCTCCAAACAATGGAGGTGAGTCAAAGACAAGCCTCCCTAAAGGCATATCTTACATCCTTCAGGAAGGTCAAGAAAAAGAGGACCAGAGCCTCCTGCTCGTCAAGGCGCCCCCTAAAACGCAGACGACATGATGATCAGAACCCGATGATTAAGATCTTGGACCTCATGAGGGGAGAAAGAGGCGGCGGCTACACAACACACAGAATCCGCTGCACCACAGCAACCATCACCACAACAATAACCACCTTCAACCGAACAAACCCAAGCAAGGGAACCAGTGGCCTTGCCCTCTGATGATGTACAGAATATACAAGTTCCCTTAGCTACAACACCAGAACCCATCGTGTTGAGTTCATCAACCGATGTAGAACCAACCACACCACCTACAAAAACAAACCAAACCTTCACTCCCTCACCCACAATAAACCTACCCTTAACCCCTTCTCCAACACCTCGCACAACCCAACCCTTCACCCTTTCCACACAAACAGAACCCACAACAAACCAACCATCGCCTCAAAGACCACAAACCCCTACAGAAACCCATGCACCAGAAACCACTCAACCACATGAAATTGAACCATCCAAAGAAAACTCACCCTCTACCCATACACAACCCTAAACTGAAACACAACCCTTAACCCATCAACCCGTGGTGCATGCAGATACTCCTTCTTTCTTAAGGCAACCTCCACAAGGCCTGGTAGATGAAATCATATAGAGCATGGAGTCGATAAGGAGACATCCTCAACTGCCGCCCAGGGAACTAGTTTGTCAACCAATCCTCTAGTTCTATCGCCTGAGTCTATGAACTTTCTACACTATCGATTCATCAGACAGACTACTCAAGAACCTCAAGCTGTCTTTTCGAATGATGGAATAAGGAGAGTCATGGACTTGAAAATAAAGTCATTTGCCAACCGAGCTATCCGATACATCAAGTTCACCGTGGAGAGAGCCCGTGGGTTCGTTAGCATGTTCAACAAAAATGACCTCATCAATCTCAATCCATACGACTTGATTGAGTTATATGCTTACACAGCTCAAAGGCAGGATCACGGCATAAGATTTGGAATGGCAAACCGAGCTACAGTAAACACAATGGAGTCCCTGGTAAAACACAGAGCCAAAACTGATTTTGAAATTGCTTTTAGGCTAGGCATCGAGAGACTATCCTGCGCTCCTCCAAACGAAGACTTCCAGGGCCTGCAGGAGATATGATCTGTATCAGTTCTTACTCAACCCGAACTTGGACTTGTTTACAAGAATGAGTTCGGGGTTAAAAAAGTCTTCAGAATGACTGAAGCCTTCAAGTATTCAACAGATACACTTGAATGGTTTCAGAAAAATATTAGAGAAAGACTGGGCAGAAACCATGTGCCAAGGGAAGAGGGGAGTCATCTCATTCACGAGAAATCAACGGTCATTGCATATCGAAGACTGCTCTTGCGCTTTAGAGAGATATACTCAGGTAGCTCGTGATGAGTTAAAACTTTTGCCTTGATGTATTTTGTTTCCAGTATTGTAAGAAATTTCATCATCCAACGAAAATTTGGAGTTTGATGTTTTTATACTAGATTAGTGTCTGTTCTTCGCATATGTGTCTATATTAGACTATGTTTGTTATTTCATTACTTAGGGGGAGATTGTTAAACCTCACGATTCATAATGTAAAAAGTAATGAAAAACAACAAGTGCTGAAGAACCAGAAGACCAATGAAGACATCAAGACAGAAACGACTAAGTCTGGAATTTAACCAGAGGATCGATGGACAGGCCCACCAGAGGACCGATGGACAATCCAAGGATGCGATGGAAAGAGTATTCTCATCGACCCTCTGGTCAATCAACACTTAGAAGATTTTTCAGCAATTCATACAAGCATGCGATGGAGATTCGAAGATAAGGATAAGATCATCATATCATGAATGACAGCTGGAGATGACAAGTCAACAGCTGGAATTCGAGTTTATCTTAATATTAATGTTTATCCATATAAAAGATAAACCTTATCTGTTAAATAGAAGAATTGCTAGAAAGTAGAATTAGATAATTATCTTCTTATTAGCCGATTAGTATAAATAGGTGATCAGATCTATTGTAAAATAAGGCTTTTACGCATTGTTTTCCGTTTCTGAGTTTATAAAGTAAAACCTTTGAAGCTCAAGATTGTTCATAAATATTCTTATTTTATTCTTAAGTCTTCATAACTTTCTTCATAAAATCACTACAATTTGGTTATTCATAACTAGATTATTAATGTTATTGAGAGATCTGAGATCAACATTTATAATGTTTAATTTTAATAGGCATGCCATTATATTTGTTCCGTTTGTTGCAATTGATAATCATAAGAAATTTGTCGTTGTTGGAGCTGCTTTGATTCACAATGAATCTGTGGTTGATTACACTTGCGTATTGAAAGCTTTTGTAAAAGCTCATGGACGTCAACCACGTTTTGTGATCACTGACCAATGTGCGTCGATGAAACAAGCAATTCTCATTGCATTTCCTGAATCCAAGCATCGATTGTGTATGTGGCATATCACTAAAAAGCTCAATTCTAAGGTAATTACGATGAAACTTTTTTGTTTTCGTTTTTTTCATTTTTTTAAGTTTTCCTTCTAATTGTGTATGTGGCAGATCAGTAATTACCTCCAACATCGTACGCCGTTTGTTAGTGAATTTAATAAGTTAGTGTGGAATGTTCACCTTGCCCCTGATGAATTTGAGATGAAATGGCTCAACATGATGGATTTGTATGGATTACATGGAGACTCAAGGTTTGATGAACTGTATGAGATTAGGGAGTCATGGATTCCGGCTTATTATAAGGATTATCATATGTCCGGTCTAATAAAAACAACATCCAGGTCGGAGAGTATTAATGGTTTTTTTAATGTTTATGCATATTTTTGGCACGATCTTGTCATTTTTCTTCGTTCTTTTGATAATGCAATTGAAAGCCAACGGACGACACATGGGTCGCTAGTAGTGACAACGAAGAGCACGGTTCCTCGATTGGTGTCTTCTTGCAAATTAGAAGCTCATGCAGCAGAAGTATATACACGGACGATATTTTTTGAAGTTCAGAAAGAGTTAAGAAAGGCTGTTTAGCTTTGTGGATGGGATGGATTCACTGACATTGGTGAAACCCGAGTGTACACCATAACACACAAGAACAAAGCTTCTAAGATCACCACAAAGTACACGGTAGTTATTTCTTAATTTTCCAATTTTGCCAAACAGTTCAAATAGTAGAATCCTTAATGCAACTTCCTAATATGATCTGGTTTCTCATTTGATAAGTTGTCAAGAACAAGATTGAAAACTCGTATAATTGCTCATGTAACTGTTTTGTTCGTAACGGGATTTTATGTCGTCACGCTCTCAAGGTAATGCTAAATGACGAGGTTGATAGAATTCTAGATAAGTATACACTTCGTCGTAGGAGACGTGATCTAGTCCCGGTGGAGTGGTTACTAGCACGTTTCAGATATGAGGAAGTTGACGCTGATAAGGAGAGGTTGATGAGTATTGCTTATTTGTATTTTGAACGTATTCTAGGTCGAGTGCGAAATGAGAAACATATTTTGTCAAAATTTGTTGACCAACTTCAAGAATGGGATACAAAAATTGATAGTGAACTTCCTATACAGTCACACACTCAAGAGACAACAACATCTATTAAAGAGTTTCTTGGAGTATCTCACCCCGAAATTATTGATGTTCTACCTCTAACCGGCATACGGAATAAAGGTTGTGGGACTGGTAAGAGACTTATTAGCACTGCCGAGAAAGCAATTACGAATGGCAAAAAGCAGAAGAGAAAGTGTCGGTTATGTCTTCAAATGGCTACACATGATTCGAGGAATTGTCCTAAACGTGATTCCACTTAAATTATGCCTTTTAATTTTTGGTGACATTTCATTTCAACACGTTATAGGATTATATTATTGTGTTTTAGTTAAATATACTACATTGTTTAAACTGGTTGCATCAAATTATTAGTGAATCTCTAATTTTTTAATAAAGTTGAATATGCTTTCATTTTACTGGTTGAAGTAGGTGTAAAAAGCTAAGTTGGTACATATGATTTTGATGAAAATAGGTACATATTTTTCTTATTGTCAATCTGGAATCACCACATGTTATAATCACCGAATATTGATCATTATGTTTTGCATTATTTCTGCATGCATCAAGAAACTTTTGATCTAGTTGGGTATGATTTCATTTTACCCTTTTGTGTAGTTGGAAAAAGTTATGTGGGTATATAAGGTTCTGATGAATATGGGTTCATCAGAATGTGTTAGTCATGTGTAACATCTCACTTAAGAAACCCCAAGTTACCAATTTTATAAAATCTCCAATAAAATATAATTTATTGATTGTTAGGACCAAAATTGATCATAATTATTTTAAAAGTTTTATAAAAGCAATCGTTGCCAAAGATGGAAGATCTGAAGATGTTGCTGTGCTGAAACGACTAAATCGGGAAGAAGACCAGATCCCCTATGGATGGACCAGAGCCCCTATGAAATGGACCAGAGCCCCTATAAAGAACCAGAGCCCCTATGAAATGGACCAGAGCCCCTATGAATGATCAACCCTTTGAAACACACAGATCTGGGCTTAACATTGACTAACCTCAAAATACGAGATATTAATTTTCTAGAAAAAAACTTCGAAATATCCGTTCTATTTTAGTGATAAAACCACCCAAAACACAATTCCAAACCGGATATAATGGATTTTTACTTACAACCCGAATTATGTAGCAAAAGAATACGGGACATACTTATAACCAAAACAAGACTATGTACAAGCTACACTTACTACATCTATGAGATACAGTAATAAGCTACTATTTACCTAAAGCAAGATCGTAATCTTCAAGTTCCCCGATAAATCTTCAAGTCAAACGACGGGTTCTTTCTTTTTATCCGTCTTCTTTCCTGAGAGGGGTTGCCACTTAAATGGTAAGCCAACGCTTAGTGAGTTAGATAGTTAAGTATTACATATCAATATCGCACATGTTTATAAACATACATAATAGACTCTTATCAATAAAAGAGTTTAAGACATCATCCAAATGTAAACCGAGACTTACAAGAAACCGAGTGAACAATTACGTACAGGATGCTAAGATCATAGAATTCCATATTCAAATCACCATAATATATCATACAATTGATGCTCAATACAACAAGGAAACATGATCAATAACCAAATATATTCAACAACGTTAGAATACCAATAAAGATCAAGGACGAAGAGATCGAATCGGTAAACATAACGAGGACAGTGCATCACCCCGTCCTTCACCTTCCGGGCTCATACCAAAGTCCTAGTCAGAATCGTACATTACGGGAAACCTCGCACTGCCCGTCTTCCTCTACCGGGTATGTGCCAAGGTTCCCTACTTCTTGCGCTTCCTCCTTTTTGAGCAATGAGTATTCACAACCGCAGAAAGTCTCACCCGTCCAACCCAGGATCTTGACTTCGCCATAAACTTCCAGCATGCCACAAGAAGTAGTATCCGTACTATGGCGTACAATTCAAGGAACAAAACAACGAATTCGGACCCGGAAAGCAAACCGATGTAACGAGATCATAATATGGCATAGACTCAAGAGATGGAATCAAAGACAAATCAAGATCGTGTGACTCAATTCAAGACCAAAAACATTTCATATAAAATCAATATGTAACAATTAACTATATAACTAACCGAGCAACCATATAATACCGAAAAGCTCCAAAATGAGCTCACAAAGCAAGTCCAAGCTACCACACCTAGAATGCTTCCAAAGCATCAAAATATGTTCTAATTACCCCCTGGAGTGAATGTACAAAATCTCATAAGCAACCAATATAAGAAACTCATGTTATACACATATCCTATTTGAAAATTTTACTTAGATTTCTATGTACAACTGCTGCTTGCAGAACTGTTTTGCCCATTTTAAACTCAAATTCATGTCTTGATCATAAACTAAAAAATCAACTAAACTCAATTATCTAACTAAAGAAATTTTCCTCACCTCATTTGGATTTTTCTATGATTTTATACAGTTTTTCAAACTGTGCACATTTTTAATGCATTCTTAAGTCAAAAATTCTCATTTTCATACATTTTTCTCAAACCATTTCRATTCCAAATTATTCCAACTTCTRAATTTMAACTTAATATAACATATTTGACATAAAYAACYAAAATCCAACCTTTATTTTATCATTTATATTCTCTCYCAAAATCRTTGACTTGATCAAGTCAAAGTTCATATGATGAATTTGCTTAAATCTTGATAATCTATTGAATCTAATGACCATTTCATGCCATAAACACAAAAATGTACTCATTTTATACAYTTAAGATCAAACCYATATGAAACYCTAACTCTTTCTYAACATGCAATCCATATAACAAGAATATCAACCAAGAACAAGTGCAAAAATGGATTATACCTTACTTGATGATCAAATCCTTCAAAGATCTTGTAATGCCTCTTTGATTTGAGTTGAATCGAGCCTATGTGTGTGAAAATTAGTGTGTGTGTGTGTGTGTGTGAGTTCTGCACTCAAATGACATGAAAAATGGGCCAAAAATCCAATTTCTTATGCTAAAACCCGAGTTGGGTCGGTTGACCCAGCTAGGTACCCATTTTGACTATCAACAGTTAAAATATTCATAACTTTTCGCTCGGACCTATGTTTTCTATGAGATTTTCGCCTACACGTTTATAAAGAAATAATCTATAACATCCAACAAAAATATTCCAAAAAAGATCTCCCAAAAAAATATGTTTTACGTATCTATTTGACGTGAAATTTTCCCAAATCCTCTAATATATTCCTAAGAAGTATAATTCTAAAAATTTCAAACGCAAACTCCCACTAAATCATAGGTTCTCTTATAAGGACATTACTAAAACACTAAGTAAAATTTTCCACTTTGACAAAACATGTAACACAACTTCTCACATAATATTCTCTTTAACCTAATAATTAAATATACTTAGCAAATAATTTAAGCATATTAGAAATTGGATGTTACAAATACCTCCTCCTTTTGAGGATTTCGTCCCCGAAATCACTGTTGTGGAAATAAAGAAGGGTATTTCGCCTTCATCTCATCTTTACACTCTCACGTCCAATTTGGTCCACGATGGTGTTTCCACTTGATCAATACCAAGTCTACTTCCTTATTACGTAGTTTCATTTTTCTCTCGTTCAGAATTGATTATGGTTCTTCAATGTATCTTAATTTCTCATCCACTTTGACTTCGGCTAAGGGCACTGTCTCTTCATGTTTACCCAAGCATTTACGTAAGTACCCGACATGAAACACATCGTGTGTCCCCGTAAGTTCCTCCGGTAACTCTAGTCGATAAACTTGTTTTTCGATACGCTCCAATACTTTGAACAGGCCAATAAATAATGGACTTAACTTACCTTGTTTTCAGAATCGAAGCACGCCTCGCCAAGGAGAAACTTTCACCATTACCATATCACCAACCGAGAACTCGATTGGCYTTTTSCGACGATCTGCATAAGACTTTTGACGATCTTGGGAAGCTTTCATTCTTTCGCAACTAATCTGAATCTTGTCATGAGTGATCTGAATGAGTTCGGGACCAACTAAAACTTTCTCTCCCCTCTCTCACCAACACAAGGCTGTACGACACTTACGTCAGTATAAAGCCTTATAGGGAGCCATTCCAATTGTCGAGTGGTAGCTATTGTTGTAAGAAAACTCAACCAAGGGTAGATGAGTATCCCAGCTACCACCAAATTCTAAGACACATGCGCGTAGCATATCCTCGAGAGTCTGAATGGTTCGTTCTGATTGACCATCGGTCTGAGGATGATAGGACGTACTAAACGCATGACGTATTCCCAACTCTCGTTGAAATCTAACCCAAAAATTAGAAGTGAATCGAGAGTCACGATCAGAGATAATCTTCACTGGTACACCGTGTCGCGAGACAACTTCATCAATGTACAACTGCGTCCATCGACCATAGAATAAGACTCTCGGACAGGTAGGAACAATGCAGATTTGGTCAACCGATCAACTATAACCCAAATAATGTTGTGTTGTCATTGGGTCT